AATTTAGTGCTGTAGTCTTTCCCTCGAAAACCCGTGTAAGCTTGCATATTGAGGTGATTTGACATATTGAGGTGGCTCAAAACCTGGTGGCAAGGAGGTTTTGAGCCGAGCGGAAGTGGTACTCGTGTTCAAAAGGTCAAACCAACTCAGGAAACGACTGCTAAGCCAAGTCTGTCCACATAGAAAGAAAGTTGGTCGAAGTTGGCTTGGTTCCGGATGTCTGAGGCAGTAAAGGGTTGACAGTGCCTATAGTTTTTCACCGGCGCTGGGATCCACCTGCACTCGCCGCCGTCTTTTTTCGCTAAAGTCGCAGCTGTTCTACATTCAAGCTCAATTGCGGGAGGGGGAGGAACCCGATCACAAATAAGACATTGGTTTTTATCTTTGCAGAGCGCTACATGGCATGAGCGCCATGTAGCGCTCTGAAAAGGCTGTCGCTGGGAGGAGAAGTGATTTTCTCTTAAAGACACATGGTACGCTCAAACACATTGAGGGTGTATGAGACTATCAGCCCCCCAGCTGTCGATGTGTCGTGGTCCCCCCGCCCAAACATGCCCAGGAATGGAGATACAGGACCGTGAAACACGCTAATTCCTCCATGCTCCGCCTTACACCTTTTTGCGGCGCAGATTCCCGTCCTTCATAACTACTACTACATGACTACTTACTTATTGATATTAAAGGCATTGTTTTTATTGGTAACTGGCTAGTTAACACTTGACTACGAGGGAAACCCGTGTGTCATACTAGCTCCGTTCATCGGGTATCTAAATATGTTGTTTAAATATTCGTCAATAACCTACTTAGAACTTTTGGTTCTTCTTCTCTTCTGTTTCGTCACCCATGGTGATATGGACCTATGGTCCAATGCGTCCACTGACGTTCTCGTTGTTGTGTCGTCCATTGACGACTCTCATTGTTCATTATTTCTTTGACATACGATATAACAAGTGTTTTTTATTATAAAAACACAACATCTTGTATCGGATTGCTAACATGATGATTCTGTTAGATATACAAGATAAAACGAGATTGAAAAATAACACTCGGTAAAACAATCTTATTTATTGGCTAACCATTTCAACATTGACATCGATAGGTTCTTCTCCGTCTTTTTCATGACGAGGCTTCTTTTTCATGGGCTCAGCTTTATTTTCAACCTCCCTTTTTCTTCCTATTTTTCCATCCTGAAAATCAGAATTTTATTCCAATTCTTATTCTAACTTCTGACTTAAATATTTTCGCTTACATCGTACGATATTGATGATCTTCTTATCGTAGTAGGTTCAGTCGCACCTTGTAGTATGTTTTCTAGCTTTAAAGAACGCCATTTGATTTTACCGTCCTTAATGTACAGTACTTAAAGACAGCGCCCGCGTTCATTTGTTGTTCTCGCGCCCTCTCTGGATCTAGTAGCTCCCCCTATGAGGATGGTGGACGTGCATGTTCCGCAACCCAAAAATGCGACGGAACAGCGGCGTCCGCCCGCAAAGAGCCTACGGCTCCGCCTCTGCCGACCACGCCACCACAATTCACTTTCTAAATGGTTGCCTGATGGTGCGGTTGTTCCATTGCTGCTTCTCTCCACGTGGAGTGGTGAGAGTGAGGTGATAAGGGAAAACAGCTGATATGAACAAGTGGAAACTCGTGCAATCACTCCTTCTCTTCGCCTTGAGCACGTACAACCGTTGTTCGGTATGAAACTCCTTCTAGAGGCGCATTTTTGCGTGTTTTCTCTTCGATTTTTCTTCACTAATAGGCTTCTTGCTACCTCGCTGTTACTACCTGAGCCGCATACTCATTAAATTTGAACGCGGGCGCTTCCTTTAAATAATGAAATAAATATACATGAACTTGTAATCTTACCTGGTAATTTTTTAGTTCAGAAGGTGTCATCAGAGTTTTCATGGCATTACCGTGCCAGTCATTGTACTCCCACCCCAAGGTTATTGCAAGAACTGTAGATTTGTATTTCTAAATCGGATTAATTTGTATTAGTTTATACACTATAGACATATAATTATTTCTAGTACAAGTATACTTTATATTACTACTTGAAATTCAACTCACCAATGTATTGTTCGTCCTTTTGT